TTTAAATCTTTTCATGTGTAAATAAATGCATGGTCAAATATTATGAGGCCGATAGCTTTACAAAAATAAAGAATAAGAAATGGATCCTGTACCGTAGACATGTTTACAAAAGTGGGCTCATATAACCTAGATGTCTTAAAATAGTGAGTTCATATACCCTAGATATGTTTACAATAGTGAGTTCATGCACCCTAGATATGTTTACAAAAGTGGGCTCATGTAACCTAGATGTCTTAAAATAGTGAGTTCATATACCCTAGATATGTTTACAATAGTGAGTTCATGCACCCTAGATATGTTTACAAAAGTGGGCTCATGTAACCTAGATGTCTTAAAATAGTGAGTTCATATACCCTAGATATGTTTACAATAGTGAGTTCATGCACCCTAGATATGTTTACAAAAGTGGGCTCATGTAACCTAGATATCTTAAAATAGTGAGTTCATATACCCTAGATATGTTTACAATAGTGAGTTCATGCACCCTAGATATGTTTACAAAAGTGGGATCATGTAACCTAGATATCTTAAAATAGTGAGTTCATATACCCTAGATATGTTTACAATAGTGAGTTCATGCACCCATATATGTTTACATTAGTGAGTTCATGCACCCTAGGTATGTTTACAAATGTGAGTTCATGTACCCTAGATATGTTTAAAATAGTGAGTTCATGTACCTTAGATATGTTTTCAATAGTGGTTACATATACCCCATACATGTTTACAATACTAAGTTCATATATCCTAGATATATTTACAACAGTTAATGAAAAACTTTTTTGTTTTCAGGTGAATAAAGCGATTGAGAACCTTAATAAAAATAGCACAAATAAACAGAAACCAACAGTCTCATGTCACCACCCACACACACACAACACAACCACACCACACACACTCACACGCTTCGAAATTGTGATTTTAGTCCAGTTCCAATTTTAAATAATTCATTTTTAGATTGGTCCATTTTCTTATAAGAGAAATTAGTAGATGACTTCCCTTCTTTGCTTAAGCCCCTTGCCAAACATTTAAACAGGTCATCCATTTACTCCTGCCACTTGCCTTCCAGAGATAACTTTTCACAGACAAGGGCTATAACTCATTTTTATTTTTTTTTTACGCATCTACTTAACAACGACCTTGCGATAAGGTCAAATTTTGACACTCGTTTACTAAACAGATGAAGGTATGGAATAAATAATACTCTCTCATGCAGTGACAACATTGACAATTCTACACAGCTGCAATGCATCTTTTCTGTTTGGTTTTTGTACATTTTACTTCTACTAACTTCTTATCCGTTCTTCTGAAACTATTTTTCATGTTTTTTTCAGAGAATTGTGCCCAGTATTCTGTGATGATGATTGACAAAGCTGAACCCATATTATTTTTACTTACACAAATTGTTTGTGTCTAATTAATCCACTCCCTTTCCGAGGTTAACACCATGATCATTATGACTGTGTACAACGTCCGCCTAGAGCTAGAAAACAAGCTCTTTCTTTGATTTTTTAAATTCGAAATATCGAAGAGCATGTTGTCGGGAGACGGAAGGGGGGTAATCAACGCTTGGTTGACTCCAGGCTTCCTTGATGTTCAGCTTCTGATGACAAGAGAAGCGGGTGTCATTTCTATGACTGTCAACAATCTTGTGGACACGTTGTCGTCACACCAACCCCCCCCGATGACAAGAGAAGCGGGTGTCATTTCTATGACTGTCAACAATCTTGTGGACACGTTGTCGTCACACCAACCCCCCCCCCCCCCCAAACCACCAGTTTGTTTTCTGTAAGAAAGTGTCCTCGTTCAACAACATCCACCCACACGCACACCCCAACCACCAGTTTGTTTTCTGTAAGAAAGTCTCCTCGTTCAACAACATCCACGCACACACGCGCACACCCCACGCAATCCCTAAAGGGAGTTAGTTCAGTTTATTTCTAAACCCTTTATAATAACCATTTATTTTGTTCGTGGCTGAATGGCTGGCCTGCAACAATCTTCGACCGGCTAACTGATCCACTTCCCGTCAACTTGTCGAGCTGAAACTTGGCACGTAGACATTTTGCCGATGACAACACATACTTTCTAATCGGGGGGGGGGGGGGGGGGGGGGGGTAGGTATCATAGTGCACATATGGACACAGATGACTAATGCAGTGGGGTAGAGGGAGTGTTCTTCAAACATCACACACAAATGAACATAATATATGCTGTATGTTGGAAAGAATTGTTGTAACGTAGCAGCCCCATGCCAAAAATATGCTTCATACTCATTATGAACGATGTGTATATGTCAATAACATATCGCTATGGAAATGTGCAAGGGCCAATGTAATGCATATGAACAGCGTGCATGTGTCTATAACATCTGGCTATGAGCAGTGTGTATGTGTCAATACGATATGAAAAGTGTGCCTCCGTCAAACACCATATCTCTATAACAGTGTGTACGTACGTTAATAATAGCTCTCTCTAACAGTGTTCATATGTCAATAGCACCTCTATAAACGGTGTATGTGTATGTGCGGTAATGATCGGGGCTAGATTGGAACCGTATGAAACCTTGTGTCCGTGCGTTACAACCTATTGAATACATTTCTTTCTTTATAGTCTTCTGTGTTGCGGTAGAGCCCATGTATGTCAGTCTGACATACCAAACAGTAGTTGATGTTGCTGAGTCCTTCAGCTTCTCAGGGTCGCCGTGACCCAGCCATTCACCCGATGATGATTCCTGACGGCGTCATTAACTCCAGATGTCCCTAAAGAATACAACAGCAAGTCTTCCGGTGAAAATCTCGTCCGATGAAATGTTTAAGTTGAGAATATCGGAACATCAGTAATGTCTCCTTCACTGCTGTCATTGGTCTTTCTTGAAATAGGTCTGAGCAGTTCAGGTCCATGCATTTGGACAGTCCCCGTCTATGTTTTTTAGCATTTTTGGTCGATGTTTCTGGGTTGTTCCGGTTCACGTTTCTGCGCAATACCGTTCCGTGTTTCTGGACAGTACCGGTCCATTTTTCAGGACACTTCTGGTTCATGTTTAGAGCTTTAGAGAAACATGCACTGAATTTTGAAACGATTCAAGCACAATAACCTTTTGATCACTCAACTATGGTTGTGTTTTAGGGTTATACCTCTTAAAAGGTGACCATGATCCGAAACAATGTTAAATGTTCTACTGCGTGTATCAATCTTAAACCGCGCATTACAATGAATATGTTGGACACGGCACAACCACAGATCATATTTTTTTTTGACGTTGTTGCTAGACCTAAGCTGGTGCTGAATTCTCCAACTGTGAAGCCAATCAATTTTCGGCGCCTCCCAACTCGGTAGATGGAAACAAAAGAGGAGATCACTTAGCAGAATGCCATCTGACTTTCGATGCGCCGCATGCAACCACGCGGCCATCAGGTTGAGAGAGCCACTTTAGGTAATATAGACTAATGCAAAAAATGCCCCCCCCCCTTTTTTTTTTCTTTTGCGCTCCTCCATCATACAGAGCGCCTTTCTAAAATTGGTTTTCGCCTATGATCGGAATCTGCGGAAACGTCACAATTATTTTAGCACCCGACTTTGTGTCGGCGAAAGCAAAGTTTTTAACATTATGGTTCTTTTAACTTGTCCAAACAATCAAATGGATGACATTTCAGTGATACTATCATGGTACATTTTAATCATAGTTTAAGGACTGGAAGTATTCTGTCTAAATACAGCAAAACAAATTACGACCAAAAGAAAAAATGCAATAAATAAACGATCGTTGGGGGGTGGGTGGGTGGGGGTGGCCTGATCACCAGCACAAGGTCTATTTTGAGAGTACTGAGCCAGTAGAAGTGCAAAGGATTTTTTTTTACAAATAGCACCCTCTTTTTTTCATACAACAAGCTAACAGAATAAAAATCACCATCATATTTACACTAAGTGAGTTGTGAGGAAAACAATCTTTGTTGCAATTGTTGCTTTTGTGTATGTGAGGTTGTTGTTCTTCTTCTTTTTAAGGGGGTGGGGCTTGGGGGTTGGGCTTGGGGTGGGAGGTTATCGAGAGTGAGTTTATTTATGTGAGCAGGTTCAAGGTCATACGCAAATCGGAGAGGGTTAAAATGCTGAAACTACAATGTACATGTCTTTAGGGATTACGACCTACTTCATATACTAACAATCAGACATCTTATTGGTGCAGGATGGAGAAGGCATTAGAGATTGAACGAAAAACAATACACAAAACAACACAAAACAACACAAACAATAATACAAAAGTTCGAAGGTATCTAGATTTATTAAGAAAATAGTTTGACTATTATTAGCAAAGTAATGGCAAAGAGGGGGGGGGAGGATTAGAAAAATAACAATTGTAATGGCTGTAAATATATGTGTTTAAAAACAAATGAGGCCATTACATTTTCAGTGGCAGCTGCAGAGATTTCATCCTATAGAGCAGTGATTCCAAAACGTCCCAATGCCGCGACCCTATAATATACTTTGGCGACCCAAACCTTCAAATTATTTTCATTTCTACTTCATAAATGTAGAGTACATGCGTTTTCCGATGACCTTAGGCGACCCTTGTGAAAAGGTCGTGCGAACCCCAAAGGTGTCGCGACCCAAGAGGATGAGAAGCGCTGAGATAGAGGGAAAGATATTGAGAAAGGGCGAGAAAGAGAAAAAGAGATGGAGGAAAGAGAGATACTTTGCGTGAAAATTACACGTGTTAGGTGTAAGATTACCTGGCAATATGGACTCATAACAGAGATAAGAATAACATTTTTATTTGTCTATGACAGAAAACAGATTAGACAATCTTATGAGATCCTTTTGTAATTTTATTTTTTTAATGCTTTTCAGATTTTCTGTGGTATTAAAATTTACTATTTAAAAATAAACAAATAAATAGATATTTTCATTCCCCACTCTCCACTGTCCCGCTTACAGTTTCAAGTATTGTATTGAACGCCCAGCCTGCAACCTTCGACCCACTCACGATAGAACACTTCACTGTCAACTGCTCGTACGCTCACAGCAACGCTTCAAGGGTTCAATTTTTGATTTCATTATTTCTTTCATGGTCCAATGATTCGACTCGACCATTCCAGGATGTGGCCTCCATCAACGCATTCTCTCAGGGTCATCCGGTCAATGTGTTGACCCCTGGGGACGTCATGGCCTCTGGCGAAATCAACATCGAGGGGGAATCCTACGTGCGGCTAACGTGGGTTCTTCCAAATGGGGGCCAAGTGGGTTTTTACAAATGTTCGGCCGAGGGATACGACAACGTGGGTCACAATGTCATAGAGTCTGACGTCATCGAGGTTAAAGGCAAGACGCCTGATGTAAGCCAGCTGTTACTCGCGATCAGAAACCTCACGTTTCGCCAGAAAGAGACGGACGAGACCGTGGAAGAATTGAAGAGAAATATCTCAAGCCTGGCGAGTCAGTTATGTAACGGCACAGAAATCAAGCCTGTCGCTTCTACTTCTCCGAGGACCCTAACCACCTCTACTTCTCCGAGCACCCTAACCACCTCTACTTCTCCGAGCACCCTAACCACCTCTACTTCTCCGAGCACCCTAACCACTTCTACTTCTCCGAGGACCCTAACCACTTCTACTTCTCCGAGGACCCTAACCACTTCTACTTCTCCGAGGACCCTAACCACTTCTACTTCTCCAAGGACCCTAACCACTTCTACTTCTCCGAGCGTCCTGACATGGCTGAGCTCCAACGCTCTGACCCATTTGTATTCCAACCAAGAAGTTTACTACTTATCAAAACAACAGTACTTGAACGTTTCGAAGGCTCAAGAGTTCTGTGAAATTATCGGTGGCTACCTGATAGAAATCGATGACGTCACGGAGTACGTGAGCATACTACCCTTGCTGTCCCTGATCCAAGACCGTACAGCAATGGCTTACACCGGTGGAAGCGAAGAACAAAGGGAAGGACATTGGATATTCCGGACAAGCGGCCGCCCAGTCGCGTACTTCAACTGGGTGTCGGGTCAAGATTTTCAAGACACAAGTCACAACTGTTTAACGTTGTTTCAGGAGTATGACTGGAAAATGTTGTCGAGTTTCTGCTCGAATCAGAATTATATGTACTATGCCTTATGCGAGCGTGCCATCTAGAGCAGCGGCTCTTAACCTGTGAGTCGCAACCCCTTTGGTGGGGTCGAATGACCCTTTCACAGGGGTCGCCTTAGACTATCGGAAAATACATATACTAGAAGCAACGAAAGTAACTGTATTTATTGGGTTTATCACAACATTGGTAACTGTGTTAAAGGGTCATGGTATTAGGAAGGTTAAAAACCGCTGATCTAGAGCGAATGCAAGAAGTTGTAATTTAACTGTCCTCAGTAAGGTGACGGCTTAGTGGTGTAATGAACCCCAAGCTTTTAAACATGGCTGTGTTAGGTTATTTTTAAAATTGAACATGTAAATGATTAAGAGATAATCAAATTTAATAATGGATACCATTGTAGATTGCCTCTAATTTTATAAGATGTTTGCCCTACGTTTGTTATATGATACAACAGGTGTGAGACTGATCGAAAATAGTTATATACTCGTAAAGTACTTAATATGTTCAAATTTATTAAAACATCTTTCATGCTTATTCGTATCAATTACATTTTCCCCCCAAAACAATGCATTCGTTGTTTTTATTTAGTCTTAAATTCTGTTAGTAGTTCATTTACTTTTTTAATTTTTTTACATTCAAATCTGCACTTGAATACTTGACCAGTCATTTCATCATATTTGTGAATGTTTTCTGGGGTGATCTTTCTGCGACTCAAGGTTTTTAACACTAAGATACATTTATTTTAAACAAAAGAAAAGTATTTTTTTTTTTGTGTGTATTATTTAAAAATACGCGGACCGAATAACTGGACAGATTTCCAACAGTACTTTTGCGGAAATGACTTTTAAATTTCTGTTTTATTATATTTATTAACGTCAAATTTTTTTAATGTAGTTGATAAATATTGAAAGAACAATAAAACAATAATATTTCCTCCTGAATTTCGTTTATAGTTGAACTTTGTTCACATTTACTTGTGATCTCTCATCATAAAGATATCCATATCTAGATCACTTGAGGGTTATTTTTTTTTATTTGATTAAAATTTTTTTTGTTAAAAATGCAAATGGGAATTTCTTTAATAAGCACACACTGCAGATTTCTAGTTATAGACCTATACACCTGGTTGTAATTTAATCAGTGTCAATAATAAATTCTGAACGAAATAGTGGGTTCCTTTACAGTAGTTGTGCCACGGCAAATGTTCTCTAACAAGAAAAAAAAAAAAAAACTTGTGAAGATGATATAAATAAATATGATGAAACAGGAAGCGACGACGATAGGCTATTTATAAAATCTGTCTAATTTTTCCGATCTTTTGTAATTTAATCAGTGTCAATAATAAATTCTGAACGAAATAGTGGGTTCCTTTACAGTAGTTGTGCCACGGCAAATGTTCTCTAAAAAGAAAAAAAAAAAAAAACTTGTGAAGATGATATAAATAAATATGTTGAAACAGGAAGTGACGATGATAGGCTATTTATAAAATCTGTCTAATGCATGAAGTCAGCAATGGACGTCAGTGTGTTAGACTGGCGGTTCACGTAAGAAAGTCACCATCTCAATGTTACTAAGCAAGCAGTCAAATATTTCACTGCCCGCTTAGGACCCTGATCACGCGCTTTGCACGCTTGCAGTATATAATAATACTACTAATTGGACTATTTGGTGATTGCTGGTGGTTTAAAAATTATTTGCTGCAATTAAGTATTTAAAAAATGTGTTGCTGTTTTGTTGTTTTTTTAGACTTCCCTGATACTCGTGTCGAACCTTGGAGCCAAGTACCCAGAAAATCGGAAATATTTTAGGAAATCTAGGAAGTCATAGAAGTGATTTGAATCGGTTTTTATTTGTAGCCCAGGCCTCTGGACCTCCCTCCCCCCTTCCCCCCCCCACACACACATCACTAGCGCCCGCCCTGTGTACCAAGAGGGCAAAAAAGAAAAAAAATTCGGAGCACTGCTCTAGATTGAGTAACACACACAAAAGATGTATACGAAACTAGCTTGTGGGTCAACCAGTTTTCTCAAAGTTACTTACAAGAGAATGGTCTCTCTTCAATGCAGGTCTTAGGCTTAAGCTCATGGGGCGAAGGTGAAACAGGTTTGGTAGAATTAATTAAACATCAGCTAAACATATGATAGATGGTTTAATTATTTTTTTTTAAAGAGTGATTGGACAGAGAGAGAGAGAGAGAGAGAGAGAGACAGAGAGAGAGAGAGAGAGAGAGATAGATGGGGTGATGTGAAACTCTATGACTAACAACAGACATAAGACTAATCGTGTTGTTGTTTTTCCAGTGACAATGTAGCATGTAAGACCAAGAAGAATCTGTTCCCTTGCGTCATTTGCCAGGCTGCCATGCAATGATTCAAATCATCCTCTACATCTTTGTCAACTACTAGGCGAAGAAGTTAAAGACCTTATAAGAGAACTGCCCTCGTATTGACTCTGATCATAGCCACTGCTAGCTTACGTCGATGAGGGTACGGTAAAGCTATGGTGATTTAAAGCAAAACCAATACGCTGTAAACCGTAGAGACGTGACCCAAGGAATAAAATAAAAAATATCCTACGCCATGAATAAATAGAGCACAGATGGTTGTAGAGGAATCAAGATTGGCCAACTAAAGAGAGGAACACGATCCGAATGTTTAAAAAATCTTGTCATATCTGAGAAAATATATTTTGATCTTTACGCGAGGAGCAAGGGAAGAAACCGTCTTAATTGGCTAACTGATAGACGTTATGGGACGTTAATTGCGGACGAAAATAAAACAAATCAATTTTCGCCCCTTCCTCATGTTGCACTCGTACAATTTTACCTACCGACAACCCGCCCCTCCCCCTAAAATTTAAAAAAAAAATTAATAAATTCGAAAGTAAATAATTATGGTACCCTTCCTACAGTACAATGTATTTTTTTTTACCGACATGACGTACACGGCTATTGAACGAAATCGAGGCAACACATGTTAAAATTTTAAACGGATTTGCCGGCTTTCTGTGTGACGTAGCAAGCACATTCTTTTGGTTCAGCAGAACTGAATAATGACGTCAGAAAGGACGTTACAGGTATGCGGGTGGGGGGCGCGGAGGGGGTTGAGTTGGGGGGGGGGATACAAAATGCAACTGATGAACTTATCGTTGTCTTTTGCTAAATATATCACTGTTGCCCCGTGACTAGCGAGTTGCCTGACGAAGCCACGCAAGGAGCACGTTGAAGATGTTTATGGGGGGGGGGGGGGGGGAGGGGGTTGAGTTGGGGGGGGGGATACAAAATGCAACTGATGAACTTATCGTTGTCTTTTGCTAAATATATCACTGTTGCCCCGTGACTAGCGAGTTGCCTGACGAAGCCACGCAAGGAGCACTTTGAAGATGTTTACTAAGCTACGAGGTGATCCTTTAAAACAGGCCTGTACAACTATAAAATGTAAGGCGGGCCGTAACACTTAATGAAAACCTTGTGCGGGCCGTAATAGTTTATGAAAATCTTGCACGGGCCAAAGCATAATAGGACATGGGCGCAAGCTAGCAAGAAAATGATAATAATTAATATTTCGTTCCTTTTGCGGGCCGACAAGTGGGTGCTGGCGGGCCGACAAGTGGGTGCTGGCGGGCCGACAAGTGGGTGCTGGCGAGCCACATGCGGCCGGCTGGCCGTATGTTGTGCAGGCATGCTTTAAAAGCATGAAAGGTGTAAGGGCTGTTTAAGAAATGTTTTAATCTACCAAGATTCTTACCAGCACGACTGCTCCTCATAATATGTTGTTGTTGTTTTAAAAATAAGAACAAGAATTGAAGAGTAGATAATCTTTGTTTCACTTGAGATTCGTGAACAAGCGTAGGAGAAGATCAAATGATTTCAATGGCCACACAAACTGTAGACTGGTATAGTATAAAGCTAAATTAAACTTTAGACTTCAATTTAGGTTTGAGCCAATTAAAATCCATTGTTGACCACGGCTAGTTGATTTGATTTGTATTGACTTTTTTGGGGGGTCAAGTCATACCTTTCTTAAACACAAACATACGCTCATTATTACAAAATAATTACTATGTTCAACAAAACACTTTGATTCATTATCATTAGATTCCTCTTTTTAAACGAAACAGTCCTTAGAAGTCCTCTTACAATATTTTTAGTAACTGTTGGGGACACGTAAAGGGAATGTGCGTATTAATACTACACACGTAATGGGGACTCCCCGAAAAGAAGATGGCTACGGCTTGAGCCATTGGATTCCAGTTAAAGGAAAACTTTCTGTGCGGTCTTTTTTAACAAAACTGTGTATAAATATATAGATCACAGCCACTTCGGGGCGCTCTGAGCAACTTAACTTTTGAACAATTTCATGACATGAACTAAGCCTGACATTTCTAATTCACGGAAGCCTGCGGTCTAACTTAAGTTTGGAATGCTATAACTTTAAACTTTTTCTTTTTTGCTTTCTATCAAAACTGCATTAACCTCTATCACTTTAGTCTTTAGTGAGCTGCACTTAATATAGAGACAATGGGAGTCGCTTAGTCACTTCCTTGTTTGGTCACGTGATGTGAGTAAGCCATCACTAGGCTGCTACACACAACAAAAGATACTTCATCAGTGCTTCCCCAATGTCATGTTAATTAAAAAGTTTACCTTTCGTAATATTATGGAATACACGCGTTTTTTAAATGAAATCCATAAATGTGACAATAAATATACGTCAGTTATGATTAAAGGAAGAAAGTTACTTCAAGAAAAATTTGTGAGCGATATTCGATGGGAACTATCAATACTATTATCGGCAGGATGTTGTTGAGCTCCGTGCATGCTCATGACGTCATTTGCGTTTTTATTCAATATTGATGCAGGAGTCATTCCCCTTTGTTTATTTTATTGTTAATTTTCATTGGACGAAATGTAGTGTAGTTGTAGTGTGTATCGGGCTACTGTTGTCAAGCACTAGTGTGTTGTATACAGTATACCGGAAATCTTACTCGTTTTACTCACATCACGTGACAAAATAATTGACTAAGCGACTCCCATTCAACACCAAATTTTTACAATTTAACATTTTCGTTAAGTGCCAAGTGAGTTAGTCAAAGGTAAAGGGCATTTAAATAAGCATTGATTACAATTTTACGAAATATAAGTACTGGCTCTGCTTTTCCATACTTAAAACTATAAGTAGACACCGTCTCATTAAAATCATCTAAACCATTATGGTGGTTATTTTAGAAGTTTTGGGGGCGCAAAAAGATCATAAAGATCATTTCACTTAGAGCTATTTAATATACTGAACTCTAATGCGTTTTGAAAAGGAAGTGATGTCATTATGCAGGTTTTAATGTAACAGATAAAGCTAACATATGTGGGTCATGAGTAACTCAACAGATGACTTTAAACATACGTGAGTCATGAGTAACTCAACAGATGACTTTAAACATACGTGAGTCATGAGTAACGCAGCGGATAAAGTTCAACATATGAGAGTTTTTATCTCTCGTGTTGTGTGACTTCAGGCATATTACAAGGGCATACAATGCTTTCTTTTCAGATTTGTCAATACTATTAATGTAAATTTATATATTGTTCATAAAATGATCACATCACTAGCGTTATATTTGTAATCGTGTCCCCCCCCAGGCCGTAGTTTGAAGACCCCTGACACAACTAAACAGGGTGCCCCCCCCCCCACACACACACACATCCACCTACACAAAAAGTGTGAGAACATCTCCCAGCTAAGGGTAATTTATTATAATTGAATCAACATATATATTTTTGGTCATACAGCTGTATGTCAAACATAGCGCTAATCAGAAAACATGTCAAATTTGTCATCCCCCCACCCATTCCCCCACCCATTCCCCCGAACTGCTTCTCAACAACTTTTTTGTCACCGCTGTCACCGCTCGTTTTTAGCACTTCGGATGCTAATCAGAAAACATGTCAAATTTGTCATCCCCCCACCCATTCCCCCACCCATCCCCCCACCCATCCCCCCACCCATTCCCCCACCCATTCCCCCACCCATTCCCCCGAACTGCTTCTCAACAACTTTTTTGTCACCGCTGTCACCGCTCGTTTTTAGCACTTCGGACACTGTCAAAGTGAGTCGCTTTTTAAACGACTCCGGTCTATTCACACCTTTAATTCGAGTGACGGCAGGCTGCCTAGGAGTCATTTTGAGAGAACACCTGTATAACATCAATGAACAGGCCCTCTCTGTCCAGTTTCCAAACATTTCAACAACAGTGCTGACCATGATGGAATTTTAGACACTGCAGTTACTGGTACACTGCATGCAAGTGATACACCTGACAGAATTTATATGAATAATAAATGAATAACAAGATTTGGTGCCTTGATTCCATACGGTGTAAAACCAAACTCAAAATGTCACATAGATGTCACATAGATGTCACATAGATGTCATGGCCTGTTTCCTGTTTGTCCCCTTCGCTTTTTTTTTTTTTTCTTTTTTTTTTTCTTCCATTTAATTTCTTTTTGTTCTTTTTAACTTTTTTTTTTATTATAGATGTCATGGCCTGTTTCCTGTTTGTCCCCTTCGCTTTTTTTTTTTTTCTTTTTCTTTTACTTCCATTAAATTTCTTTTAGTTCTTCTGAACTTTGTTTTTTATCAGAGACTTGCACCTACTCTTAATCATTTCTCCCATTTTTAAGGAGGTTACATGTATATTCATATTATCTAAATTCAATATAAACTTATTCAAGTATTTATTTTTATTTTTATTTTTTTTTATGTACTGATGAGGCATTTGCCGAAACGTTAAAATTTGTATCCTGTATGATCAGTATGAAAACTAAACATATATTGTTGATTTACACAAAATGTTTGTGTCTAATTTATATACTTGCAATAAAATGAATTGGTGATTGTAACAATATCAACAAGCAGCACTCATAAACATTCCGCTAATACACATCTCAATAATAAGTATGCCGCTAATACACATCCAGCTAATAAACATCGCACTAATACACATTTCACTACTACACATACAACGAATACATATACCAAAAATACACATCCAACTTATACATAATTAGCTAATACATGATTCGCAAGTACATATTCCACTAACACATATCCCACCAATACACTTCTCACTAATACATGTTTCACTAATACACATTCGACTAATACAAATCCCACTAATACGTGTCCTTAATAATACAGGGGCAAACACTACGCATCCAACCAAATCATGTTCCCTTTATTCACATCCCACTAACACATATGCCAGAAATACTACACATCCAACCAATACATATGCCAGAAATACTACACATCCAACCAATACATATGCCAGAAATACTACACATCCAACCAATACATATGCCAGAAATACTACACATCCAACCAATACATATGCCAGAAATACTACACATCCAACCAATACATATGCCAGAAATACTACACATCCAACCAATACATATGCCAGAAATACTACACATCCAACCAATACATATGCCAGAAATACTACACATCCAACCAATACATATGCCAGAAATACTACACATCCAACCAATACATATGCCAGAAATACTACACATCCAACCAATACATATGCCAGAAATACTACACATCCAACCAATACATATACCAAAAATACACATCCCACTTATACATGTGTCGCTAATACACATTCAACTAATACATATCCCACTAATCCAATTCCCACTAATACATGTGTCACGAATACACATCCCACTAAATCGTATGCCACTAATACAAATTCTACTTATACATAATCGACTAATACACATCCCGCTAATACACATGCCACGAATGCACATCCCACTAACACATATACCACTAATACACATTCTACTTATACATTATCGGCTAATACACATCCTACTAATACATATATTGCTAATACACACCCTACTAAAACATATGCCACTAATACACATGCCACTAATACATATACCGCTAATACACATCTCACTAGCACATATGCTACTAATACACATCCCGTTAAGACATATGTCGCTAATACACATCCCGTTAAGACATATGTCGCTAATACACATCCCGTTAAGACATATGTCGCTAATACACATCCCGTTAAGACATATGTCGCTAATACACATCCAACTAACACATAATGGCAAAAAACACATCTCACTATTACATATGCGTCTAATACACATTCCACTAATAAATATGCAAATAAACACCTTCCACTAATAAACATCGCACTAAAACAAATGCCACTAAACACATTCCACTAATAAACATCCTACTAAAACAAATGCCACTAAACACATTCCACTAATAAACATCGCACTAAAACAAATGCCACTAAACACATTCCACTAATACATATGCCACTATACGCACACCACTAATAAACATTACACTACTAGACATGCCACTGATACATTTGCCCCTAACACATAGTCCACTAATACACATTCCACTAATACACATTCCACTAATACACATTCCACTAATACACATTCCACTAATACACATTCCACTAATACACATTCCACTAATACACATTCCACTAATACACATTCCACTAATACACATTCCACTAATACACATTCCACTAATACACATTCCACTAATACACATTCCACTAATACACATTCCACTAATACACATTCCACTAATACACATTCCACTAATACACAACCCGCCGATACACACGACTCATTTCTCTACTTCCAGGTTTGGGCTTCTGACCCGTCATGAGCCGTACAATCATTACACCTCTGCGTGAGCTGCCAAGACATGGAAGGCAGCAGCGACCTGAAGCTCAGAACGCTCCTCTGCCTGTTTGGTCTGGCCTGCATGTCACAGTGCGTCGGTCACACAAACAAGTCTCGACCCTCAACAGTGACATCTGGTAAACATGGCCTTGTCCAGAGGTTCAAGTCTGATCATTGCCAGATGCTGGAGGAGGCATCAAATTTGAAGCGGGGTGCACCAGCTTCAAAATCTTATGGAACCTGTTACCAGATTCAGAGATTTCGTTCTGAATTTTTCTCCTGCCCAACTCATAGTTACGGAAAGTTACATTTCCATGTATGTAGATCTATGAAGTCGTGCGGGGTTGAAATCAGGAATGTTCGCAGGTTATTTTCAAAACATTCAAAAATGGTTGAGAAACGTCATGAAAGAGAAGACCAACATGAAGATGATGTGATTTCTGAGCCGTCCGCGACACAAGTGTCAATGGCTGACAGAACACCAAAGACGACTGCTAGCTTCTGCGACAGCAGCACACCGTTGAGCTCCTCGGATCTGTTCAATCTGTGGATCAGTTTGTGTGATACGATATGGTGTAACTCTAAAAAACTTCCCACGGCTCTGACTTCTGATCTGCGTCGCATACGACTGCTCTTCTGTATAATTATCTTATGTTACGCCCTGAGCACAGTTACCTCCAAATTTACAGTTAAAACTGATCAAACTTTATCCTTGAAACCAATTTGGAGACCGGATCATTTGAGTGCTGCGATGTTTGATGCTTCGCCGAAAATGATTTCCGGGAAATACGTGAATGTAAAGCGGCAGTGTTTCTATGACTGGTTGTTTTTACCATTCCGGGAAGTCGGTCCTCTGAAAGACTTGATTGTTTTACCTGTCTTGGAGATGAAAAGGCTCGCGTCCTTTCGAGCTTTGTCTTATGCCGAAATTCCAGATTCCATGTTCTTCACAAAATTGGCGGAAGCTGGATTCTTCTACACGGGGACAGGCAACGAGGTCACATGCTGTGGGTGTCGTAGCACTCTAACCGTGGCGTCGATAGGGTCTGATGCTTCAGACCCTAGGTACCACAGGGAGAGCTGTAGGTTTGTCACCGGTACAGAACTGGCAGGTCATCCTGTGGTCATCGTGTCTCAGCCTGATGATGGGTTCCAAGAGGCGGGGACTGAAGATACTTTTGGATATGCAGAAAATGAAAGCAAGTTTGATCCTTCCCGAGAGCTTGGTAATAGCTTACTGGGTATTGAAAAAAAATATTTTTGGTAACCAAGTCAAGTACATTAATTTAGTAATGGATGTTATGCTATAAGTGGTAAAATTATATATGCCTTTTCATACGAAATAGTTAACATTGATTTTTTTTTTGCTATGACTTTGAGGGATTCTAGTTAACCAAAACTCACCGATAAGCTGATTAGCTCAAACTTTAGATAACTATTATATAATTATGTGCTCTGTTGTAGCATAAGTGTAACCAGCGTAAAGAATTTCCTCGGAGATGATCCATGTAGGAATTAAATTGAGATCATACCCAAGTAAACGCTAGCGATGTGCCAGGTTTGTGGTCTCAGAGGCAGCTCAATATTCCGTCGCATGCGAGGTGCAGAAGAGGATTCAAAGATATTAAATTTCATAGGCGTTCGGCTAACGGGATTTCACTGCGAGGTTTTGTTTACTTTTCCGCTCCATCCTCATGCGGCAGATTAATGTGTTGGGCAACTATAGCTTTGGGGTGGCACGGCTGATGTGTTGGGCAACTATAGCTTTGGGGTGGCACGGCTGATGTGTTGGGCAACTATAGCTTTGGGGTGGCACGGCTGATGTGTTGGGCAACTATAGCTTTGGGGTGGGACGGCTGATATGTTGGGAAACTATAGCTTTAGGGGTGGCACGGCTGATGTGGTGGGCAACTATAGTTTTGGGGTGGCACGGCTGATGTGTTGGGCAACTATAGCTTTGGGGTGGCACGGCTGATATGTTGGGCAACTATAGCTTTAGGGGTGGCACGGCTGATGTGTTGGGCAACTATAGCTTTGGGGTGGCACGGCTGATGTGTTGGGCATCTATAGCTTTGGGGTGGCACGGCTGATGTGGTGGGCAACAACAGCTTTGGGGTGGCACTACTGAATTGAGACAAGTTGTTCTTTAATGTGGTTTTCAGATCTAATGTATTAGCTAATCATTGAAGGACTGCCTTCAAGCGGTGTAAACGAAATAGTTGAACAAGATTTGTTCCGGCTGGGTGGCTGACCTTAGGATGGCTAAGTGACCCACTTCTCGTCAACCTATCGAACTGCAACTTGGCACATAGAATTCTTTGCCGATGACACCACCTTCTACCAAATTTTCAGTCACACCCCCAACCCCCCCAAAACCATTTTTTTTTTCATTTTTTCAAAGGGAATATGAAGGAAATATAATTCCCCTGATTTCACGAAATAAAATCCCCGATAACTGCGGTCAATTTAGATTATAAACAAAAACTATCTTACGTAAGTTTGGTATGTATTATTTTCTTTTGTTTTTTTTTTAAAGGAAATAGTTGGTGTAGTAAATCTGCGGTGTAAAAGCGGATGGGACATTAGAATATGAATACATAATAAATTAATAAAATACATATAAAGGATTTATATGGAAAAACTTTATGTTTAAGGGTTGTTTAATTACGTTATCACTTTTTTGCCCTTGCATTTCTTTTTAACATTGTATACGTATTTTTACTTTTTAAAACAAAAAAAAGCCAAAAACGTTTTTCCATGCCAGATTTTCCTTACAATTCTTAGCGCCATCTCACGCCCGAAGGTTTCAGCGCAACCTGTCGTCGTCATCCACGTCCAGCAACTCGTCCGGCTATTCATCGGCCAGCATTTCATCGCCGCCGTCAAGACGAGGATCACACGTGATAAACCAGGAGTCGGGTGAGTAACATGAGGGGGGGGGGCATTGCACTCTGGTTACTGTAAGGCATCTAATTGTGTACACATATTTATGAGGTTCACAGGTAAGAAAAGAAAAATACAGCTTTTAATTTTTAATGTAAATCTAAAACTATTTTATTTCGAACGTTTCTAGTCCATCAAATTATTTTATTTTCAATTTCTGTTCATATATAACTATTAAAAAAATATATAATATTTCGAGGTGTGTAGTGGGTGTTTGGTAGAAAACAGAGTTCGATCTAACCGGAAGTATAAATCAAATATTTGTTAAATCTGGAATTTAGAAGAAATATATAACTATAAGTGTATGTTAACTTGCGAGTGCTTTCTTTCTTTTTTCGAAGAAGAAAATTACATACATCATTTATAGGAGCCAAAATGATCAATAAATTGATCGTGGGCCCTTAAGATATAGAAGAAGAAGAAGAAGAAATACGTTTGTCTTCTTTACCTTCCTTCATTATAATTTATAAGAAGTATTTATACATACATTTCTAGAACTACTAGAAAAATATTTTCAGTAAGCGAGAATCAACAAAGTCAGACTGCCACATCTGCCAACGGTGCAACACTCCCCGCCGGCGCGACTAATCACTCCAACGGACAAGAGGCACCCGGGAGACTGATTCTGACCAACCCATCATATCCGGTTTACATTGCCAAGCAAAAGAGACTCGAGAGCTTCGCGAACTGGGCGGCCGGTCACATTCACACCCCCGTCGCCCTGGCGTCTGCTGGGTTCTTTTATGCTGGTATGAAACTAAGTTTTACATTAATAGTACTTTTTTATGTAAAGTTATGGCAATATCTGTTTGTTTTCTAATTTGTTTCCAGATAAATTTTAATATGTTCGATAAACATTGGACCAAAAATTGGATTTCTTGCTTTTCAGAAATTTTCTAAGATCCTGATAAATAAAAGAAGTCGGTTGTATAAAATTGCTATTTATTTTTTTCAAATACCTGTTATGGCTCTAAATTCAAAATTCTTATTTTATTAGCCTCCTTGTAGTTATATCAGATGAACCAATGATCAGTAAATGTGTGGTCAGTAAATGCCGGTGTGGTCGGTAAATACCTGTGTTGTCAGGTAAATGCCGGTGTCGTCGGTAAATGCCGGTGTGGTCAGTAAATGCCGGTGTGGTCGGTAAATGCCAGTGTGGTCAGTGAACGCCTGTGTCTTCCAACAGGGTATGGTGATTGCGTCCGATGTTTCCAGTGTGGCCTCGGTCTGAGATCTTGGAAGCCGGGCGATGACATCAACGAAGAACACGAGAGGCATCGGCCATCTTGTCCGTTTCTACGAGTGCAGAAAAACAACAGCTCCACGACCACAAGTCTCGGCGCGAGTTCATTGAGCCGTGGAGCAGGTCACCCCGCCAACAGAGGTGTGTGACGCTGGCAGTAATGTAACCAAGGAAAATAACGATACATTACAATTTTGCATTGAGTATTTTTACAAACATTATAATAAAAAAAATATGTTCTTGCCATTAAATCTATATTTTAGATTGTATTGTCTTCTTTATAAAAAAAACAAACGTTGCATTTCAAAGCAATCTCTTGTGGGTCATAGTTATTCTAATTGGTGATCCGAAGCCCTTTGACGCCGCCCCACAAAAGATAAACATTTTTTTTTAATATCAAAAGAGTTACCTATTACAATACATCTCGCTCTCCTCAACAAAATGGAGAAACTCTGCCAGTCCGCCAAAAATGATGCATTCAATAATGTTACTTTCAACATGAATGTCCTCTCTTGTAAAAAAAAAAAAAAAAAATAAATGGAGAAACTCTGCCAGTCCGCCAAAAATGATGCATTCAATAATGTTACTTTCAACATGAATGTCCTCTCTTGTAAAAAAAAAAAAAAAAAAACAACAACAACAAAAAAAAGCCACCAAGCCATTTCCTAAATGACATGAATAAATAACTTTAAGGGCTTGTAAACAATAAGCAATGATAATGGTTTTGTTACTTGTTTTTTGTTGTTTTTTTTCAGCGGGGAATTCAAGCAATCATGAGCACGATGTCAGCACTGCGACCTTGACCTCAGAAGTTGATGAGAGTCGAGGTAGGCAAACAGTGACCCCGCAACAAGCAAGCAATGCCAGGGAAAAAGTCATCAGATCATCCCGTGGTGAGAGTAGTGGCTACAATCTCTAGGTCCTTCTCGTTTTATTTTATGTAGCGAATATTTAAATGAAAATAAAAATCCCGATTCATTAGCTATAATAAAAATTCCAGGAACATTTAAATTTAAAAAAAAAATCTATATATATAAAATCATGTATAAATCTGGTTGCAGTTCTGTTATTGAGCAAAGCAAAGTCATAAATATTACAATCCATTTAAAAATAATTTTTAACAATTAAAAATTACCTATTTTTTAATATTTATTCATTTTACAGCCTTAAGTAAACATCGGTTTCAAATTGAATAAACCAAGATAATGTCTTACTCACATAAATCAATAAAAATCGTGCAATCAATGCAATGTTATCTTATCAGTAGAAGGCCTGCCTAAGGAAATTATTGTATTATATCATATCTGAACATAAAAGAAAACAAAATACATTATAACAACATTATAGTTAAGCGTTAAATTTTAAAAAATAATAATCACCAAATTTTAAATAATAATGAATCGAAGTCACAGGAAGAATATATAATTTTAAAGAAAATAATTTAAAAAAAAATAGATTACTGTTAACTTATACTTTTGCCTATGATGATCCCATTTTATTATTGAAACGCTTGTATTTTATCTTTTCTTTTTTTTGTTTTCGTTCTCATTTGTCTGTTTGACAATTTCTGAAACGAAAGATCCCGCCGAGAACGTGGCTATAAATGCGCTCCAGCGAGAAAATGAAACTCTCCTACTCCAAATGATGTGCAAGATATGCCTCACTGCTCCCATCAGAGATCTCTTCCTGCCGTGTGGCGATCTCTACGCTTGCACAGAGTGTTCCAAACAGCTGACCCACTGTCCAGCGTGCAACAAACTCATCCTTGCCACTGTCACCACTTATTTTTCCTAATTACAAAACGAAATGGTAATGTGGTATGAGAGTGCTAATGCCAGGGGCAACACTATTTCAAGGCTTTGCTATTTCCGGTTGTCACTTTACTTTCATCAGTAAGACATACACGCAGCATAGAGAAATACGGATAATACAAACAAAGAAAGGGTGGATTTTTTGGATAAAAAGCCTTCGACAGCAAAATTACAGAGACAGACAAACTTAGCTGATACAGATCATTTATCCGCTGTATTGTATTGTCTTTTGTAATCTGTTTTTTTCTCCCACCAATGTATATTTAATTTCTTATTGCTTTAACCTGAATGCCGCTATGGCCGTGTTTCACTTGCGCTTTCAATAGGCTGCATGATTAACTTTGCCAAGACTTATACGCAGAGTAGTTCAGTATAAAAGGAATGTCCATTTGCAAAGTATTAAAACTAAAGTATGATACTATCTGTCCTCAGTTTCTCAATAGCTCTGTTTCATGTTTAAAACGAGAAAAGCACTTCGGAACGATATGATAAGTTAAATAATCTCCATTCTTTTGCGACGAGAGTTTAACGGGACCTAAAACAACAACAATTGAAATTGACCTCTAACGCGAAATTAAGTTTAACATTTTAATCTTCCTTAACATAGAGGGCGAGTGCATCCTTTTTTAATCCAGTGCATGTAAAAAAAAAAAGTTTCTCGTCATTGAAAACAATTGTTTACATAAAAGCTGTTTTATTACGTAGAGTGTTGGGTTTACTATTATTGTGCTGTTGTTGTTGTTGATGTTGATGTTGTTGTTGTTGATGATGTGGTTGTTGTTGTTTTTAATCTTTCACAATCAGATCTCTAAAAAATGTTCCATTTGCTGTAAAATATTTATTAAATGTAGATGTTAAAACTTTGTTAACTGTCAATAATTTCAATGTATACATACACACATGTATCTCTTCCGTCTTATATATTTTAAATGTGTTTTTGTTACATTTAGCTATACATGGTTTAATATATATAAACACGCAATGCCCAGTCTTCAATACAGATTATTCCGCATTAAAATGTGTATGATATTTGTGCAACTTTTTCATGGTCATTTGTTGTATTTATTTTACTGTTGTATATTTTGCTATTTAAATTTTAAAATTCAATTCAAACAAATAATGTAAAAACAGAAAGAACAAAGAGAATCCTGTGATAAGAAATGTGTACTATTTGTAAATCAACAAAACTTTGCTGAAATAGATTTTTGTCACATTTCTGCATTTACTGTTTTTTTGTCATTTTAATTGCTGGTTTCATTTATATTGCTGCCTTTAAGCAATTTTTTAACGGCATTCATTTTATTCGTATATTAAATTATATGGCTGTACCTTAACATTTCACTTTTACAAGTTAAAGAAACATATATATTTTTCAAATAACTTTGTTATTTATAAGATATTTAAACTTTAAATAAAACTTCAGACTTCGTACATGTCTTAAAGGTGTTTTATACAGATTATCTGAAATTCCTGTATGATTCTGTAATTAAAATTCCTGTTTTTGATTTAATCCTTATATATATATATATATATATATATATATATATATATATATATATATATATATATATATATATATATATATATATATATATATAT